CGCCGTCTCGCCCTGTGTGTTACAGGTGTGCCCGACTCGAAGCGCTGCGCCGTGTGCTCTGCTAACCCCATCTCTCTCTCTCTGCCTTTCGTGCCACAGGTGCAAAGAGCTGAAATACGGCAAGGACCTGCCCCAGATCTCCATCATCTTCATCTTTGTGAACGAAGCGCTGTCGGTTATCCTGCGATCGGTGCACAGCGCTGTTAATCATACGCCAGCTCACCTCCTGAAGGAGATCATCCTCGTGGACGACAACAGCGATGAAGGTCAGCAGCGCTGGGATCTCGGATCTCCAAAACGTCGGGAGGGAGTTTGATTTGCTAAAATCTGACGGAGGAGTCGCGCTTCTTTGGGAGCGGTGACCCTGCTGGGAGGCTCACGGTGTGAGGTGGTGGGTGTGCTGGCTGGCGCGCCGGTTCTGTAGCAGAAAAGGAACAGGATCAAACCAAAGTTAAAAGCCAAGATAATTATTGCTTGAAAGCATAGCTGAAAGGCTAAAGGAAACCAGAGCGCGATCTCACCTTTCTCTTCACAGTAGCATCCAGAAGATCTGGTTTCAGGTGTGTCCTTACTTCTAATAAGAAGACTTTAGTTGGTGCAAAGGTGGACCTCTCAGAGTTTGAGGGACAAGAGCCTGGAGCGTAGGGAGCTGTTTTCTGCTCTGGCCCCTTGCAGTGGGGTTAAACGAGATGTTTTCTCTGTGTGTGCCTCAGTTTCCCTATCTGTAGAATAAAGTCCCAGGCTGTAGAAGTGGCTGGGACCCTGCAGAGGCCCTGCTTCCTCTCCTAATATGGTTTTGATATGAGAAGGGTGAGTGAAGAGGAAAAGGAGGAAATGAACGCACCCAACCTGCTCGAGTCAGGCCCCAGCAGGACGTGGAGGGGGATGTTAGGTTTCCCAGGTTGCCCGCGTGTGTCACGTGTTCAGCCCGCTCTCAGTCACTGTTGTGGTACCTTCTCTCCTGGCTTTTGATAACGCAAGGCTGCAGGAGGTGGTTTTGTATGGAAGCTTTTTCAGATTGGGATTCTTCCAAGATCTGTTTTTTCCGATAGACAGTTGGATAATGTCATTAGGGTAGTTAAAAGTCTTCATTAAGAACAGTGAATAGTTAAGTTACTTTGATTCCTGCCTCCTCTATTTGTACTGCATGCTTTTAATATTATTTAAAAAAATAATAGATGTGTGCTGTGGATGCTGTGATCAGAAGGGAAGAGCAGGGAGGGTGCGGGACGTGGAGAGCTCGTTTCCAGAGGGAGCCTGCGAAGCTGCTCGTCTGTCTGCAGTGAGATGAGATGGTATACAGCAAGCTACTCGAGCCTGTAAAAATAGGCACTCAAATACCATGGTAATGAGCGCCATAGAAAGCTGATGATTGATAATTACCAGTAAAAGAAACAGGAGGGCAGCTCCTCAGCTGATGGAAATCACAGCAGCTCTACTGCAAAGCTAGGATGATGTGCAGCAGTGAAGTTGTGGGATTTCAGAGCTGGAACTATTTGGCAAGTGAAGAGACAGTGCAGGTATCTGTCGCTGCAGTATTTAGCATTGCCCAGTACTTAGGGGGCTCGAAATACCAAAATCAGATGCTGCTTGTCCAAATTTTACCATATCAATGGGGTGTAGAGAACACTCTTTAAAAGAGAACCCATTGGTAATAGTTATTGAGCTTCTCTGTCCATTGCCATGGACAAAGAAATATGTTTCTAAACAGTCTCCAGCCATCATTCAGTGTGCAGCACTGAGGCTGGTGTGGGGCCGAGTGCTCTGGAGACGCTGTTGAAAGGCCCAGGAGAATGAAATGAATCCTTTCGAAAAGCATCGCCCTCCCCCCGGTAAGCCGAGACTGCAGCTGGCGGTGAGGATGCAGAAGGAAATCTCTTGATCTGCTGCTGAGATTGCGAGGCACCCTCTTCCCGGGCGGTTTGCTGCGAGGGCTGGGCCGGTGCTGGCGGGGTCTGCTGGTGGGGCTGGGCGGTGGCAGGGTGTTGACAGGGCAGCGAGATGGGTGCCCAAGCTTGTGGTGTGCTCAGGTGCTTCCAGCTGGGGGTTTTCCTCTTTGTGCCTGTGTTTGCGGGCAGGCCCCGCTGCCCGGGCTGGGTTGGAGTGCCTTGGGGCACCTCCTGCTGCCCAGGGAGACGGACGCAGGTAGGTGACCCGAAACTGGGGGACAAATTGATACGTCACGTGCGGGAGGTGGGAAGTTCCCAGCCTCGCTGCACACCTGCGCAGCGTGCTCTCTGCACCCCAGCAAGAGGAGGGTGCATCGGTGGCGTCGGGAGCGTGATCTCCTCGGTCCCTGGTGATGGGACAGGGTGGTGGAACCCCGGAACGCCCAGGTGGCTCTGTGCTGGAGAACCTGGCGATGGCAGCGCGTGGGGACAGGGGGTGTAGGGAGCGAGGCGAGGCGGTGAGGCGGTAGGGTTAGGTAGCAGTGTCAGTGCTGCGCTGCTGAGTCTGTGCAGGCATCGTGACAAATGAGATTTTTTTTTTAAGGAGGGGTTTGAGGGAAGATAATGAGGTAACTTGGCAGATGTTTATGGAGAGCTCCTCCCAAGCGTGTAATAATCTTGTTTTCTCATGTAAAAGAACTGATACGAACCAGAACATATCTCTGAGACCCAAGCACTCGCTCTCTGCATCGTCAAGGAGCTTCAATGACAGCAAAGAATTATTAATGGCAATAACATTGTCAGATAGTTCCCACTAATGGTAGGAAATAATTGTGAGCAGCAATAGCAACGTCGTGTGGTTGATGCTTTGGACATTACAAACAAAGTCATTGCAATATATGAATTTGGCTTCTACAGGAAAATAATTACAGGAAAATAGTTTCTTACGAGCTCTAAGGTTTAGAGATGAACCCTGGAGGATCAAGTGCTGGTGTGGAGCGGAGGGTGGGGTTGCGTGGGTGCGACTTCGGTGGCTGTGATTGAACAAGAGAAGGAATTACTTTAGCCTCCTCGGGAGCAGCCATGTGTGTTTGAGGGACAGTTCCTACGGGTGTACGGCTTGTCGCTGTAGCCCGAGCAAAGCCTTCGGCCTCAGTTTTATACACCTGAAAGGAGGCTGACCTTCGGAGAGCAGTGGCTCAAAACCAGGAGCTGCCTTGTACCCTGGTGGGTTGCCAGCAGGAGCTTCTGGGAGAGTTGCAAAAGGCTCCGGAAGGTCTGTGGCTGGCGGCTGCTCGCTGCAGGGATTCCGTGTAGGTTTTGCCAGGGAGCACTTCAGACAGGCATGGAGAGGAAATACCGCTTGTACGGGTAATCGAAGAACAAAGCACGCACCAAATCAAGCATTAAAAGAGCCCTGGGATTTCAAAGTCAACTTCAACTTTTAAAATTAGTCCTGGGGATGGAGGTAAGAACTGCATACCCAAGGCACCCCTGGCTGGTGTTTGCCCTTCGGGGAGACCTCTTAACTAGTTACACAGACAGGATCCAAACCGTTCGGTGTTTTGTAGTTTTCAGACTGGAAGAAGCTGCTTCTGAAGGCTCATTAGGCACCTCTTGTTCTTATCTTTGGTGTAATGTGGTGTGTACAACACTGCATGACAAAAGTGTGCAACGAGAGATTAAAAGTTAATAAACATGGTCGTTCTGATTCTTTATATCTGAGCTGTAAATAGATAAAAGATACCAATGTGTTTTAATGGGGAGGGGAAAAAATCTCTCCTTCAAGGAAGAAGCTTGGGGAGTTGCAGTTTGAGCCCCCTTCTCCCTTGAGCTGCACGCTATACTTTGTAAAGACTTTTTTGGAGGCTGCTTTTGTTTGTGTTTGGAGCAGGGGTGTAATTCCAAAGCCAGCGCGCAGGTTGTGTTGCTGAGTGATAAGGTGGTTCCTGGGTTGCCGGAGGGATGCAGCAGCGTGCCCCTGAGATGTTACGGTATCTCGCGGCTGCACGCTTTGTCTCAGTCTGTTGCTTAATCATCACTTGATTTTTTTTTTTTTTCTTGTTGTCTGTCTTTTAGTGCTTTTAATCTGGGATAATATCTCTTTGAAAAGCAAATCTCTCGGTATAAAAGAAAACCTTTGGATAAAAGGCTGCTTAAAGGAGCTGGCTGCACTCAGGGAGACTTGCTACGGGTTGTAATTTACCTCGGCGTAACGTATTAGCTGTGACTTGAAATATTGCTTTCTTGTTTTGCAGCTCATTTTGACAGCACCAACAGCGGTTCACGCATGCACTCCCGGGAGCTGGCTTGCTTGTGTTTCGTGTGTGTTTGTGTTTAGGGGAGGGTTTTAGCAGAATTGCAAGAAGCTGAGTCATATCTCAGCTTTTCCCAGGCGCTGGTCCAGCCCAAGCGCGTAATTATTCCAGTTGCTCAAACGAAAGATGGGCTGCTTCGTTGCAGCTGACCTGGTGCTGTCCCACTGGTGTCCAGGCCCGAGGCTTTCAGGCCCTGCCAAGGCGTGGAGGAGAGCAGCACAGCTTGGTTTGGCTCCGTGTGGCTTTGGCTGGACCAGATGAACCAGAGCCTGGCAGCCGAATGCAGCTGTGGGACCAGCTTTGTCTGTAACCCTGTGTGAGAACCGGTTCGTGCACCGGCTCCCCTTCTCCCAGCTTCCCCTGCAATATTGGGAAGGACACACCAAAAGCTTTGGAGACTCACCTGGCTCTGAGTCTCGCTGCAAAAATTCTCATTAAATGCCCGTTGAAGGAGTTTCTTTTGTGAGTTCGTGCTGCAGAAATCCAGCCCGTGATGGCTTTGGTGTTTCAGGGAGGTGAGAGCATGGGACAAGGAGGTGCTGGGGTTCTGCGTGGCACGGGGACGCTCCCAGCCCCAACTCCGGTGCCCTCCAGCCTGCAGTGTTTCTGATAACAGCCTTGGGCTCTGTAGACTTTTCCCACCCAGCTCAGCCTGGCAAACACAACTGTGTTTTCTTTAGGGGTGTAGAGGAGGCGCAGTCCGTTCCCTGGGACCACCTGGGCAGTGCTGTGGAAGACACTGTCTGCAGTTGATAGTTCCTGGAGCTCCGCTGGTGCCCTTGGTCTTTGCTCCTTTCCTTGTGTGGCACCAGGCAGTTCCCACTTTTAGTTCTGGGGACTTCAGCAGCATTTGGAAACCTTGGGCAGGACGGGCAGTGTGGAGCACTGAGCCGTGGATATTCCTGCGGTTGCTTCTGGGCTAATGTCCGTGACATGGTTACTTCTAGTGGCATCAGGTGGTTCGATTTCTGTGGCAGGCCTGTTTCCCGGAAAGCTCACGTAGGTGACAAAATACTTTGCAACAGATAACATAAGTCATTGCAGCTGGCAGGTGGGTATTTTAATAGAGCAACAGGTCTATTGCATTCTGGTTCCTTGGACTTGCCCTTCAGTGAGGATCAATACAGACAGATGGAGAACAAAAGGCAGGATTGAAATTGAACCTGCTGGCATTTTCAGCAGCATTTCTCTCTGCAAATCTTCCCTGGAAGTAGCTCATGCAATGGCAAAGCATTCACAAATACATCCATGTGCAAATGTTGATTGCATCCTTAGTAAACATGACCTGGGAATGATGCGGGTGAGCTCTGAAGGGTGTTCCAGTAGGCTTCCCCAAAGGGGGTGTGGGTTGGGGGGGGAAGAGTGCCATAGGCTAGAGAAGAGAAAAAAGTCTCTAGATTCCATTGCAGCGCTTAGTTTGGATCAAACTACTGTTTGTGTAGCCCGTGTGGATCTACCCACGCAGATACCTCATGAGTGCGTGGCCTAACTACATGGTCCTTCCGTTAGGAAGGGTGAGGGCGAGCTGGGGAGCCGCTGCTCTGCTGCTGCCTTGGCTCCAGACTTTCTTTGTCGTTACTTTGCACCCAGCGTTTCAGGTGATGAACACTGGCCTGATTTTCATGCCAAAGTTGTCACTGGCTCAGTGTCCAGTGGGTGTTCTCTTTCTCAGCGGTGAGCTGACGGGGGGAGGCAGAGGTGAGGGGGATGGCAGCGAGTTATCGGCACCGTGAGATGCTTGCTCCCCTGCTGCAGTTTGCATGAGGTCCTGAAAATAGCAAATCCAACGGCCAGGTTTCTAGTGCGTGTGAAAGCCGACTCCCTTCAGCGAGGATATCTGCTGCTGTCCATCAGTGGAAGTCATTCAGTTCCTGACGTACTGCTTCGGACCTCCCGGCCTTCCTGTTGCAGCTCTGGGACGTGCTGCAAAGATACAGGAGTTGGGGATGAAACATTTCTTAAGTTAATCTGACAGAGAAAAAGCTCTGCTGCTACTGACCTTAACGCAGCAGCTCTCCGCATCCCCAGCCTGGAGCCACGCGTTCTGACCACGCGCGTCGGAGCCGCCGCGAGCTGCTTTCTCGTTACGCTAATGGCACTCGGCGAGGCGGCTGCCGAGTGAGGGAGAACGCAGGGTGAAATTAGGAATCATTTCAGATGACCTGGATGAAGATTAGATTTGCGAGTGAGTTATGATTTCCAGCCTGGCGGAGCTCACATGGAGGGAGCTGAGCACGTCTGGTCCCTCAGGGTCAGCATCTGCGGGACCAGGGGAGCTCTGGCAGCGTGGCTGTGCCTGTACTGGGGACCCACGGACGCTTTTCGACACGGCCGCGTCAGTCCTGCTCACTGGCAAGGGCAGACCTGGGCCAAGACTCGCCTGGTGCTGGAACAGGGGTTTTGCAGAGCATTCCCGGAGACTGGCGTTTCACTTTTGATACCCAATGGTGGATTTTCCCACACGCTGCTCTTCTGGATGGGCTGAGAAATGAAATACAAAGCCCACCCCACCCCTGTGCCTACTGGCTGGATGCCAAGTACGCATCTCGTAGTACCAAAATAGTGCTCGGGAGCTGCTGTGCACCGTGCCCTCGTCCCACCGAGCTGCACGCCAGCTCCGAGACTGGCAAAGGCCAGCACAGCCGTGCAGCCGTCCCCCCCATTAGGGCTTGCCCAGGCACGTCAGAGAAGAGAATTCTCCCCTGGAAGGCGTGTGCTGGGGGCTGAGCCGGGCTGGGAGGGAAGGTAGGGAGCACAGCCCAGGGAGCTGTGCGGGAGGGCCTGGAACCACGTTTCCCGTGTCTGGTTAACGCAGTGTCCTCTCTGAGCGCGTCTCCGCTGGGCAGCAGCCCCTTCGGGGTGCTTGCAGCACGCGTTGC